AAAAATATTTAACAAAAGAATACAAAAGCATCATTTCTAAGATCAATTGAAAAATGTCTTATAGTGGCCGGGGATTTAGCTCAGTGGTTTCGCTGCCTGCTGTGCAAGCACAAGGACCCGAGGTCAATCCCCAGTACAAAAAAATTAAAAAATAAAAAAAATTATAAAAAGAAAAATGTCTCATAAATATTAACTGTTCGAAAGTGAACTGTTGTTCCAATAAAATGTCACTGGCAGACAATATATATAAGATATGGGGCTTTTAAAACGCCATCATCCATTTTCCAAATAATTTATCTCACTGTAATATAAACTTCATTTTCCCTGTTAGCCAGCATTATAATTAAACACACTGTCTGACCACTACATCTATGAGAATCTATGTAAAGAACACAGTATCATCACTCAAAAGTTTGTACCAAGCTCTTTCCAAGAACAGAACAGGAATTATTTTGTAAAACCAAGAAAATCACTTGGGCTTTTTAAAATTTTAGAAGTGTAGCTGGACTGCCTAAGAGAGGTTTTAAGGTGAAGATAAATGTCGGCTGATGCCTCCAAAAATATCCTGGATGAACTGGTTATGATTTCAGAAACTAGTGAATGCTCCTCTCAGGCTTCCTCTCTCCCAGTTGTTATCATTTGTCCATCAATTCAACTTTTAAGACAACAGTTTCTCGAGGATACAAATCAACACTCCTATTTCCCAGGTACTGCTTGCTAAATAAAGACCCTGACTTTTTTTAAATGTCATCCTAGAAAGATTCTGCACGCAATATTCCTGTCACCTGCAACATCTTCACATTAAAAGCCCTCTACTGTGTTCCATACACAGTATTCCAATCCCGACCTGGCTTCCTGCATCGTGAGGCATAACCAAGTTTCACTGAGCAATGCTCAGGGAAACTGCTGCTGGGGCTACCTCAGCAAGTTTTACACTCCCTGAACTGATGACATCTCAGTAGGTCTACTTCCTTCCTTTTGTGGGATCAAACCCCACAGCACAGCAAATGCCTTCTGCAAGAAAAGGTAGCAGCAACCGAAGGCTGTGGCTTCAGTAGAGTAATTGCATGCACTCAATACAGTAGCTTCTCTGCCAATTTCTTTTAAATAGACCAAAAAAAAGGCTGGCTTCGAGGCTGCAAATATATAACAAACAGGGATGGAAAGCGGGTGGAACGACTGTTTTCTTCAAGACACACTAGTGCACGCACAAGTTCTGCACCACAGCTCGGAGAAAAGTAGCTGGTTGACGCATTGATAGAAGGCTATTTTAAAATCACTCAAAGATTCGGCATCAATCCGACTGGGATGCTCCTGCCGCCTCTCCACACACAGCCTGTTTTCCTACTAATTTAAGAATGAATCGCTGGCAGCCACCAGGTGCAATACCCGTGAGGAGGAGGCGGAGGAGGAGGACGTATCCATCACAACGCACAGCGAGGTGTGCCTGCCACCCCCGGCCCGGGCCGTCCTTACCTTAGCAGATTAGACAGGGGCAGGGGTCCGGATCCACCGCCCAGGATCCCTCCTTTCCTGCCAGACAGGAGTTTCTCCACCAGAGCCACATTTCCAGTGCGAGCAGCTTCCAGCAGCTCCTGGTCCTTCCCCATAGTCTCGCGGCGAACCCCCCCCCAGAGTGCTCTCCCGGCCCAGGTCCTCCTCCCGCCACCCCCACTCCCCAAAATCAGGGCCCTTCTGCCCGCCCCACCCTGAATCGCGCCGGGGCTCTGGGCTCCGGGCGATGCCGCGGTCCGGGGCGCAGCTCCTACAATGGGGAGTAGTGCATGTCTGCGGGGCCGGCCCGGGGACCCGCCGCGCCCCGACAGCCGCTGCCCGGGATCCCGCGGCCTCGACCCGGGAGGGCGGGGGCCTGGGGCGCGCGAGGGGCTGAGGGGCCGCGCAGGCTGGGGCGATGCTCACTGGGACCCGCGCGCCTAGACCGCTCGCGGCGGCCCACCCGCCTGGCCCGGGCTCTCCTCAGCTTCCGCACCGGGCGGGCTCGGCGGCTCCCCCCCCCTCCCCGCGGCCCGCGGCCCGCGGTGCCGAACAAAGGGCCGGCGGCGAGGGGTGCTGCGCGGCCCCGGCCCTGGGCTCCTGGCCTCGCGCTGGCCGCCGCTCGCCGACCTCCCAGCGTCTCGCTCTCGCCTTGAGCTTCCGGACTGCTGAAATGAGGGGTTCTAACTTCACCCCAGCCCTGGGCCAGGCCGCTGCTGTTCTGTGTCTGCTGTTCTGTGTCTGAGCCGTCCGGCGCCTGAATCCCCTCACCCCTGCGCCCTCCCAGCCCCGACCCCCTGCACATTCAGGGCCCTGGACCCCTCCTACAGATGAAGGGGCCTCGAAGCGTCCACCCCTGCACCCCGGCCTGGGTGAAGGGTGCTGAGCCTTTCGGGGCAGGGCTGGCGGGCAGCCACCGTGTTCTTGTGCACATGGGTGTCTGCGTGTGATATTGCGTGTGCAAGTGCGAGTGTGTGCACAGCCTCCCGGTGTGAGGTGCTTCACTCCCATCCCAGTAAAGCAGGGATGCAGGAAGAGAGCTTGAGACTCAGCCATTTTGTGAGAACCAGGCATTTTGGGGTGGGAGCGAGGAACGGATTATGGGAAAACACCCAGGTAGGTGCCCCCTGGACCTTGCGGGGTGTGTGTCCTGGAAGGTGAGGTGGTGGGGTGTGGGATGAGAGGAGAGGCCCTAGGGGAAAGGCCCCAGGCGGGGGCTTCCCTGGCAGTGCTGGGTGCTGCGACAGCTATAGCCTCTCATGCATCCCATCCCTGCCTCCCCCGAGGGGTGACTGGCCTTTCTGGTCCAGGGCCCCGGGGTCCAGCTTTTTGGTGCTAATGCTCAGAAGGGCCTGTGTGTCCCTAATGGTCCTCTGGCTCCTCCAGCTCCCTCCCTGCCTGTCTGCCCTGGCCAGCCAGGTCCTGACCTGGGACTTTGGCACCCTGGGCGGGGTAGAGTGCAGTGTTCAGTGGGCTGGGAGGGGGCATTCTGGCTGGTGGCATCTCCTGGGGCTCCCTTTGGGTGAAGAGCCCTCTACGTCCTGCTCCTGGGGCTGCTCTGGTCAGTCCTTCTGAACCTGCTGCCTGCTCTCTGTCTCTTCTCTGAGCTGTAGCATCCAGAATGGGCAGCAGAATGTATGCAGGTTCTGTATCCATACCACCTGGACGTGCCTGCTATAGGGGCGAGACCCTCACCGCCAAGGCTGCCTGCTTCAGCCTGCTTCAGGCCACTCCTCCACTCCTTTCCTGGGGACAGAGACTTTCCTGAACTCCAGCTCCCTGGCAGCAGTGGCTGTGGGGAGATGGCACCACTGTAGCAGGGAGCTTGAGAGTGTTTAGAGCAGGTGTCTGGAGCTGCCTCTGGGTCAGTCAAGCCTCATCTCAGAACCTTTGCAGACCCCTGTTTTTCATCAGCAAGTGGGTACAGCTGGCCCCACCCTGGGCTTTGTGAAGACCAACTGAGAAAGGTGCCCAGGCCTTCCAGGCTACCCCATGGCCCACGATGCATGGTGGCACAGCTTATGTAGCTGTTGTCACTCATCAGCAATCCCCCAGGTCCCCAGGTGTGGAACCTTCCATGCCCAGCTGCCACTCAGCTCAGGAGGCTGGATGGCCTGAGCTTCCTGAGTGTGGCCAGCCCGCATTGCCCACGGGCCTGGCATAGACTGGCCCATGGTGTGCATCAGGCCCCATTTGGTCTGTTCATTAATTAATAAGGAAGACCGTGTCTCTCTCTGGGCTCTGGGGCAGCCAGTGAGGGCCAGGGCTCAGTGTGGATGTGAGCGAGTCCTGTGCCTGGGTAGTGCTGGGTGCTCCTGGGCCACCTTCCTTCTGTCTTCTGAGAGGTTGAGTTCTGCCAGCCTCTCAGCTATCCCTGCTGCATTCCTGGGGAGTGGGTAGCTGCTGTCCAGGGTTGGGAAGAGTGTATCTGCCCCAGAGCAGGGCTTGGTGGGCATGGTCAGCCAGGTGCACTGGCCACAGGGTCCTGAGACACGCTCCTGGCAGAGGCAAGACCATTGCACACTGTGTGCAAGCATTCCTGAAGGAGCCTCTGGAGCCTGTGGAGGCCGACCCAGCCTGGGGTGCTGCTTGGGCAGAGCCTGCTTGACCTCCCACCCCTCCCAAAGTGCATGTGGGCCACAGGAAGGGCCCCAGAGCAGGCAGGTGTGTCCACATGGGGCTGCCCTGGGAGCTCCCTGGGGGTGAGGACTGTGGGTGCCTCTGAGACTGAGTCCAGCGCCTGGCTCACTCGTGCTGCCTACTGTGCATGCGGAGCTGGGCGGTCGTAGCAGAGGGAAAGGGAACGAGACTTGGGATGTTCCTGTTGTGTTGGCCTTGGTTATTTCTCACTGCCAATTGCCAGAGTGGTGTAATGGGGAAACTGAGGCTGGGAAAAGTTGTTCTGCATAAGCAGACTGCTGGGGGCTCTGCTTCAGAGGTGAGAGCTGGGAGGTACAGATGGCTTGGGCTTCCAACATCTCATCCACTGAGTGGCCAGGAGGCAAGGGCATTGAAACTGGGCCAGATGGAAAATCTGGCATTGGGGACTGGGGACTGGGCTCACCTCACAGGCCAGGCTCCTGGGGCAGTCTCCAGGCCCCCCCCATCCAGCTGCCCTGTGGAGGCCTCTGAGGTGGCAGGGCCTGGGGCTGTTGGGCTGCCAGTCACACTCCCCTTCCACAGTGGTGTGAGAAGAGTCTGGGGTCAGGGCCTTGCCTCGGGCTCCCTGCTTGGCCCTGGGTAACCTACTTGGTGGAGTCCGGGCTGCCCTGAGGCATCGTGGGGAGCTGTGCCCCTGTCTCAGCTGGGTGCTCTC